TTAATAACAAATGCTTTTGTGGTTTTTTGCAAAAATAACTAACTAACTAATCAAAACCACAGGACAAAACACAACTGCTGACCACAGGTTATCCGAATTGAAATTGTTCAGTGAGGCAAAATAAAAGCGTTTATGGTCTAATAATCAGCATTTTATGTCTAAATTTAGGCAAAGGGTTTTATTTTTTGGACGGGGGTGGGGGTGAGTCCTAGGTACATTAAGTTATCGACTGTTGACAAAAATAGACCGTAAATAGGCCGGAATCTAACTCGGTTTGTCTCCTTCCGCGTGTCTCCTATTTTTATAGCACACTTTTCAGCGAATCGCTTTATGTTTATTTCCCGGAATGTCTCGCTGGAGTTTATTGCCATCTGGGGACTCGATCTGGTTTACACTTCTCCCCCGGATCCTACTCTTCACTCCTTCCCGGTTTGTGTTTTGTTTGGTCCAAATGAATGCCATTCTCGCACAAAATCAGCAAATGGCCAGTGTGTCCACTGAAAGAAACTCGCAATGGCCAAAGGTCACAATAAGCCTAGACAGAGATAGATAGAGAGAGAGAGAGAGAGAGAACGAGGGAGCGATGTACCACAAAAAGAATGCTATCCTTTTTGCTGTGAAAGGATAAAGATCTCTTTGTGCACGGCTCTATGCTAATAAAGGTAAATGCCATTAGAGATGGAATGCTGCTGAAAGCAAAGTCCTGGTGAGACATACGCACATTTGCCTCTACAGTGGAAGCTCTTTAAGAGTGACTAGAGAGAATTTTATTTTTCAATTATAAATCAAATATATTAAAAATTTATATATTTTCTGGGGTTTTTATTTCATAAAAAAATGATTAGGGAACGGTTAGGATAATAATAAAATTAAGAAAAAGGAAGGAATCTTACCTCGACATGCCTTAGAATTTGTAATAGGAGATTAAGAATATAAAACACTATACAGCTCATAAAAAAAATACCCCTAAAGGGATATGAAAACTTAATTATTTATCCATAATTTACATTTCTTTAAAACAGATTTGCTTTTATAACAATAATTACAAAAACAATTATTATTGGCTTCTTTTTATATATATTTTTTGTCAGTAACACCGATTTCTGTGCTCTACAAAATATTAATTGAAAAAGTTTTCTTGACATATGTCATGAAATTGAACAGGTTTTTAATTAAGCAAATTTATAATTCATTTTTTCTATAAAGAAACTTTTTACTTTTTTGACGTAACATAAACTAAAAGCAAGCTAGTTAGGTGTATTACTTATTTTCCATTACAATAAAATAGAGTTAAAAAAAGGTATTACTGTCCTTTTGGCACTTTTTAAATTGATTTCAACTCTAAAACTATATTTTTTTTTATAAACTTTTTGCCTGATTTCCAAGTTAAAACTTTAATTTAAAATCCAACAAGCCAACATAATTCCTAAAAATAAGTTGAAGTTATATATTTCTTTTTTCAATTTCTTCCAAACTCTGTTAAATAAAAGTTGACCACAGCTGGAGCAACTCTCTCTTTAACTCGATTTTTCCCTGTGACAGATTGTGGATTAAGTTAGAGAAGTTCAACTGTATGGGAATATGTACATATATACCCGTAAATACACATGCACATATAGCCCGACGTGGACAGATACCAGATGGGTGGCATTGGCCAAAGTTCTCACGTGTAGAAAACAGGATATAAAAGGGGTTGGGGTGGGCTATAGGGGGGGTGCGAATACCCGGCAGTCGCGTCGCCACATGGAATCAACAGTTTACCTGGCTGGGTGCTTTTGCTTTTGGTCTGGCTAAATGGCTTAAAACCAGACCGAAACTGACAACAAATACAGCTGACGACGACGACGACGACGGCAATGATGATGATGATGATGGGGAAATAAAGGAGTGGAGGAGGTGGTAAAGCGGAGGGGTCCATTTTCCAGACAGAGGCGCATGCACAACGGCAATTACTCATGGAAATAGTTTAGGCAGAGGCAGAGGCAGAGGGAGGGGGAAACTAAAGCCGCCATGAGTTACGGTTAGAGTTTCCGTTGCTGTGGGTTACACCCACTCAGTTTCCCAACCACCCTCGTCTCCCCTTTTTCCTGTTTCCCATTTCCCCCCTGCTACCCTTCATGCCATTTGTTTATTTGTTTATTCTGCACTCCGTTTGCTCAAAATCAAAATTCCTGTTGCTGCTGCGCTGCAGCGGTTGCTTTGTTGCTGTTGATTTTCCCAAAAGGGCCAAAGGGGGAGACATAGGCATGAGCAAGAGCGAGAGATCCGAGGAAAAGCGACATCATTTGCATCCATCTCAATCCCCCCTATCTCTCATCACTTTTTCGGTACAAAGCTGCAAATGTAAACGAAATCGAATATGACTGCTGTTTCCGATTCAAATTGCGATTGCGATGGCGATGCTGATTTTCCGATTCCGATTCTGTTGCTTATGCTGCTGTTTTATGCCAATGCATCCTCTCCACGACTCCCGGTACTTTGGCATCCTTGAGGCCACAGGACAATCAGCATGCATGATTTAACATTGCCCCAAAAAAAAAAAAACAAATACCCATGAATGCCATAACGCATACGCTTTTAGGAAAGGGGCTGTTCCATTGTGGAAATTCGATTACGTGTCTGGATATTGGGGTTCTTTTAACAAAAGAGTTGAGGTTATTTTTGCTTTTTTCTAAAAGAGCTAAGGCTGTTTGTGACATTTTCATTGTTGTTATTATTATTCTATTGCTGACCGACCTCAATATTTAGCAAGTTGTGAGTGAGAATTGAGAGATGAGAATTGCACCATAAGCTGGACATGCTGAGGGGAGTCTTTGTATATATTGTTTCATTTATAAAATAAATTAGTAAACTACCTTTAAAATATATTTATTCCCTCGACAAACTATGTTTTTTTTTAGGAAAAATTATAACTTAAAGGTATTTATCATAAATAATTTCAGCATAAATTACTTTCGTAGTAAGCATTTACTGCGCTTCGCCAAAAAGTATGCAATTTAATTACAAAAACCCCACACAAAATGGCGTAGTTCCTTATACAAAATGGCGGTTCTGTTAGCAGGAATGTCTTCCCTTTTGCGCTAACAAGCATATGTATGCATGCCCAGCAAGCTCGGTGCAGCTGTAAAATGTGAATGCAGAAAAGGCAAACCGCTGCACATAACTAACTGGGGACTTGAATTCGGTTTTGGGCCATATTTTGCGCCAATTTCCATACAAATCTCTCGCACACACAAAGCCAGGCACACATATACATACACTCGAAACACACTCACTCATGCCAACTGTCGATCGCAAATGGCTAGCAGTTTGCATAGTTTCTCCACAAAACGCAAAAGGAAAGCAAAAACCCCACGAAACTCCGTATGAATGAAACAAAACAAAACAAAGCGAGGCCACAAGAAAAACAAAAAGTCCACATGCGATAAAGAAAAACAAAAGCCAGAAGGTGGCAGCAGCAGGGGCAGGCGGCAGCAACAACAACTACTACTGCTTGCTATGTAACAATAAAAAAAAGGGAACGTACTGAGGCTGAGAGCTAGAAGAAAATTAAAAAGTAAACACAAAAATTCACGTGCTTCGCATGCAATAACAGCATAGTCGGTGAGGCCAAGGGTTAGGGGGCACTATAGTGGCATTTGAGCTTGCGCAGTGAGAGGGGGCTCCTGTAGGAGCAAGCGAGTAAGGAATAATGCGCATGATCAAGAGAGTGAGAGCAAGAAAGCTAAGAAATTTGTGTGCTGTAAGGGAATTTCTCTCATGTGAATTTTGTTTACAGCTATGATGACGTATGCTGGTATTGTAGGGTATTAACAGAGCATATGCGAATTGTGGATAACAGATAATTAAATTTAAATTTTAATATATTTCGTATTTTTTATTTGATCCAATTTTATAATGTTAAATGCATTTCAATGAAAATTAATAATAGGTACCCTTCCAATCCATGTAGCTTATACATGCCCATATACTCTACCTCTCCCTCCCTCTCCTTACACCTGTCCGAATGGAGTCTTTTTTGCACTCAGATGAGAGTTAAACTTGCTTTCTCCCTTGCACTCTTACTCGCTTACTGCCGTGCAACGTGCGTATTATTTATGCGTAGACATTGTGGCGCCGCTTGTTGTACGAAACATAGAGAGAGAGATAGAGAAAGAGAGTAAGCTTTGGTCCCTGAGAATGAAAGAAAGAAAGAAAGTAGATGCGATGCCAGAGAGAAAGCGCTCTGTGCATAAATACGCGAGAGTGGCGCCTCGGCGTCCTTAGAAGTGTGTGAAGCTTCGTGGAGAGCGGACGTGCGCTGCTGCTCCTGCGAAATTATCGCTCTCGGGCATTTTGAATTCCAACCAACACATGGCCGGACACACACCACACAAACACTAACAAACACGCACACCTGTACACGCATACCGTTGCAAGTTTTTGAGCGCGCGCGCAAATCGCCGAAATTAAAGCAAAGCGAAAAGAAAAATGCTAAATATCCACGTGAAACGGTGCACAAAATAAGCGAATAATGAAAACAAATCGAATCGGTTGAAAATCAAGTGAAGTTGTTTTTAATTTCGAAAAAATCAATGCCGTTAACCGACGCACAGATACATACAAACGCACACGTGTGCGCCAAAAGCCAAAACACACACGGATACAGTAAGACGCAATCTCACACACACATACACATACGCAAACAAGAGGCCTAACAAAGTGAAAGTAACGGAATTAGCAGCACAATTGTGAGTGAAAGTAGAAGGAAGGCAAAAGGGATAAATGAGAGGAAGAAGCAGGACCAGAGAGAGCCAAAATGAAATAAATATTGCATTGCCTACTTCATGGCACAGCCTAAATTAAGGATTTCCCTTTGATGCTTGCACCTGCCTGCCTGCCTCTTCTTCTCCTTATTTAAACACGTGTGTGCGTGCGTGCTAAAGTCGGTCATACTTGAAACAGCAGCAACAACAAAAACAATCAACAAAAACAAGGCCTCAAAAATTTGTAAAAAGCATGCAACAACAACAAGCGGCAACAGCAGCAGCCGCCACCAACGCAGCAGCAACCTGAGCAAGATAAACACGCAAAACAAAGCGAACTGGGTCAGTAAGCGAAAGGAGAAGAACGAGGGAGGAGAAAGAAGAGAAGGAAAAGGAGGAGGGGGAGGAGTGGAAGGAGCAGAGGCCGAAGAAGCAGCCAAAAGGAGGCTCAGCTAGAAGACGGCAAGCAAAAATGCTGCATGTGCTGCAGTTGAAATGTGTAGCATACTTGTCAGCGTTAAAGGGTAAGTCGCTCAAGTCACTCGATTATCCTTGGATTTCGATATGCCACGCGTATATTTAACCTTGAAAACAGCATTAACCTATAAGGGGGAAACGGGAATGGGTTTGTGGCTTGTGGGAAATGGTTAGGGTTGCTCAAGGATACGCGCTGCGAGTCGAAAAGTAAATGTCGAAATGCCGAAAGGAGCAATAACAAAAGGACAGCAGCAGCAGCAAGAGCAGCAGAAGCAACAGCAACAAAAAGCGGGAAATGGAATAACAGTAAAATAAAATATCCTTGTGAATGTTGCGCTTGCAGGCGTACCCCTCTCTCCCGCTTCACCTTAGCAGTCCCGCCCCTTTCGAACTCCCTAATGTTTATACCCACACCAATGCTAAATAGCATTTTCGTTTTTCGAAACACGAAGGAAAATCTTTAGAAAATATGTATAAGTTAAAAATAAATAGAAAATGAACAAGGTGAAATTTTAAATTTGATACTAAATTGCTTATTATCTTTAAATGCCTTACACTAAATTATAAAATTAAGTTACAGTTTTTATATATCCCATTCATCCATCAATGCATTTAATTATCCATTAAAAATATTTTATTTTATAGTATTTCCGATTTATTTCCTGAAGTTTTTGGAGATTTACATTTCCTTTAAAAGATTTTATAAAGAGTTAGCGCTACCAGATCTTAAGAGTAGTTTTTCTCAGTGCAGGTCCTGCGTTCTGCGTCCCTTCGTGTGTTTGTGTGTATGCTCAATGCTCTGTTGTGTTTGTGTGTGTTGGTTCGCCTGATGTGGGTCATAAATGTTACTCCATTTTTATGGCCAACTTGCACACGACGCTTGGCAATGGCGATGGCGATGGTAAATGGCGCTGGAGCCGGAGCCGGAGCAAAGAGCAAGCAGCGAAATGAAAGAGCTGCCAGCATAAGCAAATGGCAAGGATATGGCGGGAATAAACCAGAATGGGGCAAAAGCGTTGGCCAGGAAGCAGGAACGAAAGAAGAGAAAGCGAACGGCGGGGAAAAAAGGGACATTAAATGGCAGTGGCGAGGGCAGCTCCAAAACATATTAAGCCAAACAAATACAAATAAATATTCATTAGGGGTTCCCATTCAGATTTGCGCGCTCTCTTACGAATATTTCCCTTGAAAAATTGGAATTAATGATAATATCCTCCGCTTCCTTTTCCTTTTTTTGTGGGAAAAACTCGAGGATAAGCCCTCTGTTTCGGGTTTTTGAAAAGGACAAAGTTCGATGCGATTTGCTCTTTCGCTGGCCCATAATGCAATTGCAGCTTGGCTCTGTTGCAATATTCGGTGCCCTTTAACCCAAGAGGCAATTAGCTGGGCGTCTCGGCGACATTTACAGTGCGGTTTGCCGGATGGGGTTTATATAATGGGCTGTGTCAGCTTTTGTGGCCTGCAACTGTTCCATCGCGTGACCTTGAGCCTGCTTGGGGGTTGGGGGTGGCATGCAAATCCATTGAAAGCGCACGGCTGCAGTTCAAGGCTATTTTTACGTTACGCAAGCGACTGCAAACACACAGATACACTAAGAGGCGGCAGCGGCGTGTGTGTGTGTGTGTGTTTTTGCGTATCCTTGAGCGTCAGAGTTGGGCGCCGGGCGCCGCCATGTTGCATGCGTTGTCGTTGTCGCGTTGACATTTTTTCTTTCCCCCGCTATAGTCCTGTGTTTGCCTTCAGTCATCCGACATTTTATATATTCATTCGCTTATGCAATCGCTGGCAATCCTTTCACTCTCCTTTCAGCTTCGTTATTTTTTTTTTTCCTTTTTGCTCTTCGCTTTTCCCTAATTAGTTGAGCTCAGGTTATGCAATCGCAGCTTTGGCCCAGATCCTTGAGCAGTTTAGTAATGCTTTCTCATCACTTGAGGCTTTTATGGGTGAATAAATGTATTAATTGGGGGAAAAAGAAACTTTTTTATGTCAAAGCAAATGGAGATGTATATAAAATGAAGGATTTTTAAGTGATTATGAAAGGTATAACTCTTGAAACTTAAACTATTCTCTTGTCTGAACGTAAAGTCTCTGATTAAACTAGTTTCAGTACTTTTCCGACTTCATTTTAAAATATTTTTAAGTAAAACATCCTTTAAGCCTGGCTAGCTATCATTACGTCAGCTGCCAAGGCCCCTGTGAAAATCCATCAATCGTTTCGAGCTTTCCAACTGAATGCAGTCAGTCAGTCAGCGTTTGGGAAATACGTGAATATTTATTACAAATCCCCCGATAATCGCCTGTCAGCAGCGAAGCTTCACTGTATGCATAGCTCGCTGAATGCAATATATAGTATTCGCTTTACACTGTGCTACATAGGACACACCCCACTCTCCCATGCTTCATTCCATCCCATTAAGCTTTCCCTTGCCTTTGCCTCAATGTCATTGCATATTTGAGGAGGTTTGTTTAATCGAAACGCGGCCGCCTCCAAGTATATATGTTAGTATGTAGGGGGTCTCCGGTGGGCGTGGCATGTGTGCGTGTTAACCTCCGACTGTCACTGGCCCTGGGAGTTCATACATACCTACAAATGTACTCGTACACGTACACACATATGACATAAGTGCAGGAAAAGGCTGTTACGCCTTATTACTGTAATCGCAATGGATCGCCATTGAAGTCGCGCCCACAAACTAATCAGTTATATGTCATATATATACATATATATCGCATCGTATCTTACCATCTAGCCCCCAGTCTAGCCCTAGGTTAGGTTTTTCTCCCCCCTGTTGTGTTCATCGGGGAGAAGCCTTCATTAGAGGCGCCTTTTCAGTGGCACGTCTGCGGTCTGAAGTTGAAGTTGCACTTAATTTTTGCTACGCGCAGGCAAAACGGGATCGGGTCCCGCGGGTTCGTTAATTTCATTAAAAAGTTGTGCATCGAAAAACTTGCTAATTGCAGCCCGCAGGCAGGAAAAAAAAGTAAAAGAGTGTTGTAGAAAAAACTTAAATAAACAAACAAACTCGTTACTGGTGAAGTAATAACTTTGCTGATACATTAACTGAAATACAATTTGTAAATATGAGTGAGCAATTTATAATGCACAAGTCCAGCGAAATTACTCAACAAATAGTGGCATTTATCAATGGTTAATGCTACCAAAGAGCACGCAATTCCCCATTTGCCCGGGACTTTGTCAATATCGCTGGCTAAGCTAAGGTCAGGAATTGGAGTTAGAAGTTGGGGAGGGAAGGGGGGGGCAAAAGTAATTTGGGACTTGACCTGTGATTACCGCAAATGCAAATCAACGGAACTGGGCACAAACTGCACACAAATGCCGCAATATAAACTTGGCCACGAAACAAATCGTAATGGCACAAAGCAGGGAAGGGGGGAGAGAGTGGAAAATAGAAAATAGAAGGCTGAAAGGAAGGCAAAACTCGACCCGGCAAAGGCAACTAAAAACAATTTGCCGTAATCAAAACGAAATCAGCAAAGCGCAAGCCGCAGCAGCGTCGCAACGGAAAAGTGGGCCAGCGAAAATCCTGGGAAATCCTGCCACAGGAAAACCCAATCCCCCGGATGCCCTGCTATAAAATAGTTTGGCTTTAGGGAAATGAGGGGAAAAAGACAGCAGCAGCAGCAACAGCAGATGACATTTATTTGTCATGACATTTATTGATGATTCAATAAAGTGAAACAAAGTAGTGTAAATTAGGGGTTACGATTGTTGATCAGGGTTTATTATAGTTGGGAGTGAAAGAAAATTAAATTAAAAACACCTTTTGATAATTTAAAAAAGTATTTTAAGATGCTATATCTCTTCCTAGGTTTAAGGTCTTTATTACGAAAAAATCACCTTTGCCTTAGGGTAACACAATTCATCCCAAATTTAAAGAAAACACAGCTCTAAATTTTCATATATTCCACCAAATTGATCATATTATTCTCGCAATAACCCACCGCTTGTTAGAGTATACCCCACTGCAGGAATCATGAAAGCGAGGAGTTCAAATGGGTGGCGCCGGCTTTGTTTTCCAGCCAAAAGTCAACACAGAAGGCCACGGTGCCAGTTCCCGGGTCCATTCAGGTATTCCGGCACTCTGCTGCTGCTGCTGGCCAAGAGGCAAAACCCGTGGAGTCGTCATTATATATTTGTTGTCACTTGAAAAATATTTGTGCTTTGCGCTTGATTTATGCTTCAGTTGGGGGAGCCAAGTACGGGGTGGGAAAATGGTGGAAATCCAATGGGTAGTGTACCTGCAAAATAGCAAACAATGCGGCGGGAGCTGTGAGCTGTGAGCTTGAAAATGGCGGATTGTCGGGAGTCAAATAGAGGGAGTTGAAAACTAGAGTCTTCCTTGTCCTGCTGCGGTCCGCTGCGGATATGCAAATGTTGTTGGCAGCAAAAAGATAATAGAATCGGCTGCCAGGACCACAGAAGCGTCCACTGCAGGTATAACTATAGATACATAGGTATCCCAGTCAAATTCCCCATTGACTCTCCGCTTGGGATATAGTATAACCAAACAGTAACTGGAAAATGGAGAAGGGAATGGGGGGGCTAAAGTGGGGATGCTTTTCCTGTGTTGTCACTGACAGTCGAATGTTTGCATAACGCAACAAAAGCCAAAACAAAAGCTGCCACAAAAAGGGTTCAACATAAATATTTTCACCCGGAACGAGCCAAAAGAAAATCGCATTGATGGCAAACACGCACACACAAAAGGCAAAAAAGGGAAAAGGTTTTTGTTCCGAATTAACAATTCAATTTAAACGGACTGGGGGAAAACCGCTTGACATCTATTTTCCACAAGACAGGGGGTATGGCGCGGGGGCGGGGGGTTACGGTGAAAATGTGGAAATGGGGGAATAGCTGGGAAATGCTGGAAAGTGGGCGTAGGGTACTTTGACACAGAATTGAAGCCCTGGGACGATGGGTTCAAAGGTTGACGCACACACTTGGCAATGACAATCGTTTGTTTTGCTGTCAATTGTTGTTGTCGCCGCTGTCGCTTTTGCTTTTTGTTGTTGACTTTGGACACAC